TAGCACAATTTTCGCAGCACAAAGTAATATAATATTCGCCACATAACAGTTTTTCTGTTAATTTCTATACCTTGTTCTCCATTTCTAGTTGAAATTAATATTGCATTTTTTGCAGACACAGGTTTTTTCCCGAGTTTTGAGTTTTGCGCGTGAAGTAACTGCCTGTCGGTACACTGGACCATATTGTAATTTCTTTTTTAAATTGTTAGGCTTCCCTGTTTCTTTTTGTGTGGCACTGGCACTGCATCGGCTTTTACGTGTTTTTCTTCACCAAAGCTGTGTGAAATCAATGGAAGCTGTTTCACTCAGCCGTCGCCAGGCATTCTGGCCCTGCTCTCGGGTGGAAAACTGGCCCCTCCCCCAAATGGCCCCCAACTGGCCTCCATCGTCTGTGATTGCGCAAAGTGCGGCGTTGTCCTGCGAAAGCGTTTTATTTAAATATGTCCGTGTGCACGCAAATATATATACTCGTATATATATGTATATGTGCATATATGTGTTTACAGGAGCGCAGTGGTGTGGTGGCAGGTAAACCGTAACGGTTTAAATCTGCTTGTCCAACACTCGGCTTCCGCCCTTCAGTCCTCTTGGTCCTTTTGGTCCTTCGGCACTTCAGCGGCCCCGTATTTGTGTCAGTTTCGTGCGGATCGCTTACAGTTGGCATAAAAAGGGATGCCAACAAAAACAGGAGCAGCAGGAGCGGCAGAAGCGGCAGGAGCGGCAGGACATGTTAAAAACAGTTTTATGCACTGCCAGAATGAGCTGGAATAAAATAAATATGCTGGCTGACTGCCTCAGTGGGTGTGGCCCTTTGGTTTCGTCCTGGAAAACGCAAAAGTGCCCACGCTTCAATGCGTGTATCTGTCGCTTTACCCGGCCGAAATGCTTTAAAAAGTGATTTTTACAAGCCGCACACAGACACATGTACCAAAGTCATGAGCCAAAAAGAAGGAAACATCGTCGTAAACTACAGTGAAAAAGTCAAAACGTTTTTTTATTATTTTTTTTTTTTGTCCTTCTTCCCTCCACTGAATAGTCAAGTAAGCTAAGCCGACCTGAATTGAACTGAACTGAACTGCCGATTTGCAATTTTCAGCTTTTGGGCCAAAAGGGCTTTGCACCGGGTTAATGAATGAGCCGCAATCGGTGTGCTATATTTTTCTATCACGTCGGATTTTGTTTGTTTATGCTGCTTGCCCCGCCTGCAATTGATGGTGATTGAATTTTTTGATTGATCGTCGGATTGATTGAACGCGTTGATGTTGGTCGATCCGCCAGCGATGATGGCGTTTGCACAGCACACCGCTCCAGTAGCCCACGGTTAAAAACTAATAAAAAACTAACAGCAAAGCGGTTAATTGAAACGCGGAGTGGTGCGGCACGGCCTAAAAACGAAGGAGGCACTGGGGATGCGTTTTGGACCCACCTTCGGGGAATACTCGCAATTACGCTAAAAGCAATTCCCGGCGAAAAACTTCAACGAGTTAGCCGGCAAGTCAACCCTTAGCCTTTGGCTTACAAACGCTGCGCTGAGTAGGAGAACCAACAAACAAATACATTTGCCACCTCTAAGACAGGCCCACAAATTTTTATTTAAAGCACTTTACCAGGATCGAGTTCTTTTCCCTCTCACTTGCTTTTCCTATCTCTGTGTGCTTGTGTGTGTGTGTGTGTGTGTGTGTGTGTGTCTGTCGTACAATCAACTTAAACTAAGATTACAAGCACCGCCCGCTAAGCTGTGGAAAAATGTGTGCCACCGACCAGCGAACAGGAGCTGCAGGAGCTCCAGGAGTGGCAGGATGCGGAGAAGTCCTTGCTGGTGGTGCGGGAAATCCGCAAAACCACTCACAGGCAGACACCACACAAACAGACAGACTCCTGCATTCGCTTGGCCCCCGAGGAGTACGCATGCTATTTGTATTTAAAATGGGATTTACCTGGGGTTTTGTCACTTCTTTTAGCGGCGCTTTTAATTTGATTTAATGCGTCTACGCGTGCCGCATTTGTGCCACAAAAAAGGAAGAGAAAGAAGGAAAAACATCGCATCCTTTCTGGCGGCTGGAGACAAGGACTCTAAAAAGTGGGAAAAGTGTGCTACGCCTACCGTTGCTGCTCTCGTTTTTGGCCATTTGTGAGAATTAAGTTTGGTGGATACCAACTCAAATGCCCCAGTGAATTGGGCAAGTGAAAACTTGTGTTGCCAAGTGAAACTTGCCGTGCGCCGTGAAACTATGTACAAAACTCAATTGCGAATGTATGCCAGCACGTTGTTTGGGGAAAAATGCAAATTAATTTTCCGCAGGCTTTTTGCTGCGTTGCCCATTAAATATGAGCGCTCTGCATTTCGTAGCCGGCACTTTTGCCTTGGCCTCCATTTTTGGTTTATGTAAATCTCATTGAATCCGCCGTGGCTCCATCTCCAGACATTTTCCAAGCCGACGACCGTCTTCTCGGCGCTGCACATCAAAGACAGCCAAGAACATTTTCGCTAGCGGCTAGACTTTGAACTCGCTGCTGAAGGAATGGTTTCGGGTAGAGCGGGGTGGGGGTTTAGAATTTAAAGTCTGGAGTCCTTGCCCTCGGCGCAACCGCAATTAAAACAGATTTCTTGTTTACGATGTCCTTGGCGAATTTGTAAATCAATTCTATGCGTATTTTAAGCAATTAATTTTCCTGAATTTTAATTGACTTTGCCATCTGCCCCGGCGCCTTTTGGCCTCTCTGTTTGCTTGTTTATTTACTTGTTTTCCCCCAACTTCCAACAGGCAGCCCACAAAATTTGAAAGCCGTTGTTGTTATCTGTATGTTTCCATTGCGGTTAGGCCAAATTGATTTTAGAGCTAAGCAGAGTGCATGTGTACTTAGGTCACTTATGTTGGTAGTTGCTTCTAATCCCCCTTCAACTTGTCAGCTTCAGGAATTTGACCTGCAAAAGTGACCACAGAAGTAGCTGGGAAAGGAATTTTTTATTTGGCCCAAGGAAAAAATTAATTGAAAATAATTAAGCTAATAGCGCAGTAAAGTTGACAAAGCTATCTTCTGTTGTTCGACAAACTATTGGATTATTTTCTTTGTGCAATAATTGTTTCTATGTCAATCTGTCAGCTAGATTTAGTTGATTGACAAAGGTAACCACCGAAAATGCCAGCTTAGCCACCTGATAAATACAAATATGTATATTTAAAATGCTTTTAATTTGTAAAGTTGTGAGGAATTTACCTTAATATTCGAGCGGGTGGAGATGGGAAAAATAGAGCCGGCTGTAAAAGCAATTGACTTTTGGCAGTTCTTCAAGAAATAAATCAGGGTCGATTTGTAACTGCGGCTCGAATTAATCCAGTTGGAATGGAATATAGCCGACACCAGAAGTTCACAATCCGTGTTGAGCAGATCACACACATAGCAAAATGGAAATGTCTGCACCATCAGACCATTGATATAGGCCACTGTGGCCAATCCTGTCCAGATGTCGGAAAAGAAGAGCAGATTGATCATTGAAAGGCCAAGGCAAATTCCGATCAATAGGAACTGGATGAAGATTGTGTGGGAGATCGCTGGTCGTATTGCTGCAGCATACCTGAAAATAAATATTCTTAAAATAAATGTTTTTTCAGCAATAATGGTCGTCTTTAGTTACTCGATAATGAGCTTATGATCCTTGATGCACTTGATCAAATCTTGCTCGTTGTCAGCCTCGCTTTTCCCGGAGTCGGTGCAAAGTTTCTCCACCCTCAGTCGCAAAAGTTTGATGTGAACTCTTAGGATCAAACCATATAGCAGCGGATATATGTCGCTTATTAGGGTTTGGGTCACAGCAAACAGCATAAGTGCTGTCTCGTTGAGAGCAGCCTTCCAAAAACTGGATCGACTTTCTCGCCAATCCACAAAAGGATTGTAGATGCGCCACGGCAGCTTTCCACTCAGAGCCGCCGATAGAAAAGTTGAAATAGTGTACGCGGTATAAATGAACTGGTAAATGAGGTACGCCTTGTTGCAACAGACCACACTTTGGTGCACCTCCACTCGCTCCTCCAAGGTGGTGCAACGTTTGTCCATTTCGCTCAGCAGCTGTTTGGCCTTGTAAAATCCAGAAATGTATACATTGAAGAACAGGACCTTGAATGGCATGCCCACTGAATTGAAAAACAATTGCATAACTGTCAACAGTTCATTAGGCGTAAAGGTGTTTATATCCTTTTTGAAACTAATGATGATTCCGATCGGCAAGTATAATGCACACCAAGCGAAAATCAAACTGGATGTTATGTAGTAAACAATCTTATACGTGGCTGGAGTATGCCATCCCATGCAAAACATTCCGTATTCAAAGTATCTAAATGAGTCTGGAGAGCTCAAAAGGTTCTTTGGATTCGGCTTTCGCAGATAGTTGAACAACATTGTTGCACTTTTCGGTCTCGAAATCGGTTCTAAACTGTAGTGGGTTATTTGAAATCTACTGTATTAATACTACCAATTTTCAAATTTTGCGGACTGTTACACACACCGAAAGTCGAAACTGCTTCATCTGAAATGCAAATTTAATTTGCAGTGGCTACGCAAAATTATCTTTTGTTTTTCAAACCTGTAATCTGAGGTAATTACAGAAAATTTTGAATTTCTAAAGCCGTAATTATTTGCAATAGTCCTGATATGATCCCTATGAACCTAAAAGGTGGCCCCAAAAAGTTGGCAAAAAGCCATAGAACACTAACTAAAGATTACTGGGATTAAAGATTTGATATCCATAGTGAAGCTGGCTATGACGATGATCCTCTTATAATGAAATATTGTGAATAACTGGTAATTTTCACGAGGTTTCCTGCCAGCAAAAACATTCCATAAATTAAAGAAATCCCTGACTTTTAATCTTCAAGTTCGATTGTTTTGGATTAAAGATTTTTATTTAAGCAGGCGAATATTTTCTAATTTAAGCAATTAAATGTAATGTATCATTATAATTACTATTAATTTTATAGTTTTTTTTAATATCATTGCTGCTAACTTATGTGTTATGTTCTAATTTTTTGACAATCGCTCAGTAATGTTTAGTTGATTGACAAATGTAACCACCGAAAATGCCAACTTAGCTACCTGAAAATATTAAATGTTTTGAGAGCTGGGAAATATATTCTATTTAATGTACCTACCTGAATATTTGACCTGGTGGATATAGGGAAAACTGAGCCAGCCGTAAATGCAATCGAGTTTTGGGAGTTCTGCAAGAAGAAAATCAGTAATAATTTGTATCTTCGACTGGTGTCAAACCAATTAGAGTGAAATATTGCCATCTCGAGATGAGCACAGTCCGACTTTATGAGATCACACACGAAACAGAACGGAAACGTTTGGATCATCAGTCCATTGATATAAACAACTGTAGCCAGCCCAGCCCAAAAGTCCGCAAAGAAAAGCAGATTTATTATGGACAAGCCCAAACAAACGCCGATTAGGAGGAACTGAGTGAAGATAGTGCGGGAGATGATTGGATGTATCATGGATGCAAATCTGCAATAATGGAAAGCATTTAAAAATATGTTTGTCCCATCATTAATCGTTATATTTACTCTTGGATCAATTGGTGATCTTTGATACAAGCAATCAAATCTTCCTGATTTTCATCATCTTTCTTTTCGGGATTCGAGCACAATTTTTCCACCCTTTTTTTCAGTAGATGGATATGGGCTCTCAACATAAATCCATAAATTAGCGCATATATATCGGTCAAAACGGCTTGTGAGACGGAAACCAGCATGAGCAGCTTCTCATTGAGGATTGCCTTCCAGAAGTTTTGTCTACTTTCGCGCCAATCTACAAATGGATTATAAATGCGCCATGGCGGAACTTCCGAAATGGTGGCCGATAGGAAAGTGAACAAAATGTAGCATATATAAATGCACTGATAGATGAGGTAGGCCCTGTTGCAGTGCACCACCCATCGATGGACCACAAAACGTTCCCCGATATCAGTGCATCGTTTGTCCATTTCGCTAAGCAGACTACGGGCCTTTAGAAATCGCCAAAAGTGCAACTTGAAGAATAAAACCTTGATGGGGGTACCAAACGAGTTGAAAAAGAGCTGTAGAACAGTCAGGAGATCGCTGGGATTGAAGGTATTGATGTCCTTGACACAAGTGATGATGATTCCGATGGGCAGATAGACAATGCTCCATGTTATAAGCATTGCAGCTATAAAGTGGTACAGCAACTGGTTCTTGGCAGGAGCCATCCATCCCAACCAAAACATGCCGTACTCAAAGTAGCGCAATGCCTCTGGTGAAGTCAGAAGATCCTGCGGGATTGGTTTTCGCAAGTATCTAAACAACATTGCCTTACTCCTCTGTCTGCCAATCTGACATAAACTGCTGAAGAATGCTCGACAAACGCTTTTATATTCAAGGCGATTTCAATTTATTTTATTTTTCCCACAAGACTCTTATGCAAATCGTTCCCACGCTGGCTACGCACAATAATCAATTATTGCCTAACTATTGGTTGCTGAACTTGTATTTCTTTGTGACCGCAACAAAGGATGTTATTTGTTGAATTCCTGATACTGTAATCACCTGCAATGCGCCGCTCAGCTTGAATTTCTAATTTGTTTTGCTTTCCACACTTTTTCCCCAGGGCCGTATCATTAAGTTGGCAACAGTTTTAGCCGCAATCGGCCATTCAGCTCTGGCCATACAGATGTAAATGTCTTTGCCGCATGATTAATATATGTCTATGTGCTTTCATCGCACAAGTATACACATATGTGTGGGTACACATTGCACTACCACCGCGGCCGAAAGTCCTGCGAGTCCTGCGAGTCCTGCGATTTCCCAGCCCATTGTCTGTCTGACTTGCGTTGTCGGCAGACGCGTGTGTTCGAGTTAATTTATAGACTTATCAACACTTAATCACCGGAAAAATGGCATGGCGCATGTGTAAAACGCACACAGTGCCACGCATGTTGATTATGCCCGATGTCTTTTGCCCCGTATTTCACCCGGAGACGAAGTCAGATTCAGAGTCGGAGTCAGCGTCAGAGCCAGAAAGACAGTGGAACACACAGGCTTAATAGTTGTTAGTTAGTTGTGCGTGCGTACTGTTGCCTTGCTGTGCGTTACACATTCGCTGTAATTTATACTTTATAGCCCGGCCAGATATGAAAAGTCTCTCCGCACACACACAGACGCACGCATATAGCATAATATCTGGGGCTATATTTTTCCAGGCTCTGTTCAACATGTTGACTTTTATGCCATTTTGTGCGGTTTCCAAGTCAACTGTGGTCAGACGCTGGCCCTGATATTTATGCGTGCATATAAATAACAAGGTCTCTGACTTTTCCACATATTGCGAATAAAGTTTGGGGCGCTGGAAAAGCGGGGCTTATGTTATTAGATTTACTGCCGCCAGAGGGCGCTACTGATGCTGATGCTGACGCTGATGCGACGGCCATAAAGCGGCTGACATTCAAATAAACCGCAAAGAGTTGACTGCATAATTAAAGCCGCACACCAATCATGTTTTGCCAGCATCTTTGCCAGTTGATTAAACCGACTCCTCGAGCCATTCAATAGGCCCATGTCAATTGGCCAGGACAATTGTTAACCATTTGAGCGGCATATACAGCGCATATGAGCCACGTTTGCTGATTCCAAACACACTCGGCCCCTATTCCTAGTGATTGCAACAACGTGACGCATCAACATTTTCCATCTGTTTGCTGTATTTTTATTTTTTCTACGCTCTTCTTGATCTGAGCTTTATTGTGGGCCATTTGGGCCATATGTGCGTGTGTACATGCGAGTTGGCTAAGTGAAAGGCGCCGCCTGATGAAGTATTGTTTCTGGATCATAAACTGATTTGCTTAAAAGCGAGTGTGTTTTGGCCTACGTGTTCAGCATTCCATGCCTACATATATGTAGTGTATAAGTTAACTAAAGCTAACGTCGCTCCCACGGGCGCATGAAATACGACGACATCGGCATACTGCAACGTAAGCATTATGCCGGAAGTCGATACGTAGCCGGCAGACACTGCAGATTTGCGTGGCCGCTACGAATATGGGATCGCAACAATGTGTTTCGTTTTCATGCTAGCTCATAAGTTTGAATTCTTGTATTTTTATATTCAGTTCTGATTTTGCCTCCGACGCTACAGCTCCGCTTGGCTCGGGATAATAAAGCATTAAAAGTAAACTCCTAATCTTTTTATTGTCACGGCTCCGCCTGACGTCCGATTAGTAAAAGCCGCGCGCGTTAACCGCCGGCAAACCTTTCCCTAATTGGCGCCCAACCAGTGGTATTTGACAGTGCGTCAGTCATTACCCACAAACTTAAAAATCTCTAAAAATCTAAAATTTTACCAAAAGTAAATAAAACTCAGCCACATCAACAGGGCTTAGTGACAAGCAAGCTTAAAAATTTCTAAAAATCTAAAATCTAACTAAAAGTGAATAAAACTCAGCCACGTCAACAGGGCTGTAGTGACAAACGTCAAGTGCCAACAACAAAAACAAGTGCTTGTGACCACTGTTGCTTACAACAGAACAATCTGACAAGTGGCTACTGCTGACCTACGTCAACACAGGCAGCACAGCGGAAACGTCATTGAACTCGCCTCTTGAATGCAGTTGGCCGAGGTGCGCTATAGCGCAAATTTAATTTCACGTAACACCGAAGCCGCTGGAGCTCTTCGGGCAGCGACTTATCAGATTAGCGCGCAAGCTATCTGGACAACGGGGAGGCAGAGACAAGCGGTGTACAACAACAGACACCGACTTCAGTTTGGGACGCAACACAACACCAAAAAATGTAAGTGGGAACCTTTCTTTAAACTGCCCTAAAACCTGCGAAATAAAAATAAGCACATAAGCACAGTTTTTGCAAGTGTCTCGTCTTAAATGTAATTAAATAATAAAAAGTCTTAAAATACGTGAAACTAGTAGTGGAGTAAGTTGACAGAAAATAGTAAACTATTGGCAGCAAAAATACATAAATATTTGTTGAATAATTACAAAAAGCGGCGCACCAAACGCATGCGCGCACAAATATTTTTTTTCCGTCTGCCTTTGTTTCGTTTGTTTTGTTTGGTCGTTCAACGTAATACGATCCGTGGAATTTGGCAACTTTGTTGCCTCCATCCTCAAGCGTTGTGTTCAAGTTTTCGTTGTTTATATTAGAGGCATATGACTTCACCCTTCCTCCTCTATAGAACCACTCGCCGACAGTGTAGTGATTCTGACTCTGATTGCGACGACCATCGCATTCGCCGTTCAGTGCCAAGACGCACACACTCACCCCCACCCTCACCTCGTCCTACAGACAGCGTCATGGACCCAGACCAGTTGAGACTCATAATACAGGCAGCCGTCACCGCTGCCTTAGCTGAGCAAGCCGCTACAAATAAGGTCTTGATTGACAAAGTCGAGTCAATGGCCCAGCAGCTGGCCGCAGCGCATATTACGCCACCAGAGGTGCAAGCTTATGCACCCATAGAGATAAGAAACGATATCCGCTGCGACGAGCCATTAGATGCCGTCAAATGCTTGCCCGAGTTTGCAGGCGCACATGAATCGTATGTTTCATGGAGACAGGCGGCTCTCGCAGCCTATCATATTTTTAGGCCGTACGACGGCAGTTCACGCCATTATCAGGCGGTCATAATTATAAGAAACAAAATCAGGGGGGCCGCGGACGTTGTTCTAGCCTCTTTCGGCACAGCTCTTAACTTCGACGCGATTATAAGTCGCCTCGACTTCACGTACAGCGACAAACGTCCAGTTCACGTAATCGAGCAAGAGCTGGCCACGCTGAGACAAGGCAGCATGTCTCTGCTGCAATACTATGATGAAGTCGGCAAAAAGCTTACATTGTTGACTAATAAAGTCAACATGTCATACGAGCCGGTCCTAGCAAAGGGCCTCTGCGAAAAGTTCCGCGAAGATGCACTACGTGTGTTCGTTTCGGGACTCAAGCGTAGTCTCACAGATGTGCTGTTCTCAGCAAAGCCAAGAGACTTGCCGTCAGCTCTGGCGCTCGCGCAAGAGGTGGAATCGAACCATGAAAGATATGCGTTCGCTGCCAACTTCGCGAGAAGCATTGAGGAAAAAGAACACAAGGCAAGTACCCAACAGCGGGTCAAGCCACCCCAACAAGAAGCACAGGCAAGCGGGTCAAAGAACCCACATTTCAGTAGACAGAACAAGCAGCAAGGCCAATTCGGCCTGCGAAATGCCGAGCAGCAAACTCGCGCCAGTGCTCCAGAACCAATGGAGGTAGACCCTTCGCTGTCAAGATATAGACAGCCCACCCAGGCCTCCGCTGGCGTCAGCAAGCGGTCGGCCATGTCCGATCGCTCTAACGGAAAGGGCAAGCAACAAAGGGTGAATCATGTAACCCAAGATGCCGGGCAGGGGCAGACCTCGTACGCCGAAGCCGCCAACGGCGCTGTGGCGCAGATCGAGGACGATGCCGAAAGTGATTCTGACGCCCTCAATTTTTTAGGGGAAAATCCCTGCTACCCGTCATCAGACGAAGAGTAGCAGGGCAGGATATGAGCTTCCTTATTGATACCGGCACGTCCAAAAATTACATCAAACCACACAAGGGGTTGCGTGGCGTCCGTCCGGTTAACTCACAATTCACCTTGCATTCTATCCATGGCTCAACCACCGTCACACAAAAATGCCTTGTTGCGCTGTTCAACGTGAAAGCAACATTTTTTATTTTACCAGACTTGTCAACCTTCGATGGGATAATCGGTCTCGATTTGTTAGCTCAGGCTGGGGCGTCACTCTGTTTGGCCTCCGGTCAGCTCAAATGGGGTACGGAAGTTGAGAAAATCTCCTTCCACAAATGCACTGATGTCAATTTCACCGATGTGGATTGCTCAGATGCACCCGCTTCAGTGCGGGAGACTTTTCGGAAATTATTAAAGGCCAGAAAAAAGGCCTTTGCAGACCCAAACGAGGCTCTGCCATACAATACTTCGGTGGTCGCCACCATCAGAACGGTGAGCGAAGAGCCCATCTATGCCAAGCTGTACCCATATCCCATGGGCGTAGCTGACTTCGTTAATAAGGAGATCCAAGATCTTCTAAGAAACGATATAATTCAGAAATCGGCATCCCCCTACAACAACCCCATATGGGTAGTAGATAAAAAGGGCACCGATGATGCGGGAAACCGCAAGAAGCGCTTGGTGATAGACTTTCGCAAGCTTAATGAGCACACCATTCCCGATAAATACCCCATGCCAAATATATCAATGATATTAGGCAATTTGGGCAAAGCACACTATTTTTCGACACTGGATCTTAAATCAGGATACCATCAAGTCGTACTAGCGGAGCGCGAT